GACCTGCGCAGATGATCAGCTGAAGAGCTTGATCTCAGACCCTTTCGACTTTCACCACCTGACCCACACAAGCCCATCTCAGTTCCAATCCCTCGAAAAGGCTCGCGAGGCTGACTTGGTCACGGAATTCTCTGTTATACGTGCCTCACAAAGACCTGTCACTAATCTCAAGGGCATCCAAGCTCAAGATCTGCATTTCCAGGATTTTTCCACAGAAGATCTCAGTCAATTCGGGGCAGCTATTGCTGACAACGATGTCGCTACTGACACATTACCAGTAAGCCCGCCGGCGTCGCCGGGTGGCTCCTCGTCTATCAGTCCTAAGCAGCGCGACATTCGGAGACGACCAGAGTCGCGCGTCTTCGAAAACTTCTCACGACCTGTTCCCAGTTTTTCCAAAGGGCTAGGGGAAGCAACTTCTCCGCCGAGGGCTCCTTCACCTAGGCTGACGTCTTCTCCTGAGTTGCCTGAGCCAGCACCTCGAGCTATTGATGAGATTTTGGGCTTGTCCAGCCAGCCAACATACCCTGAGCACGTATATTCGCAGGATGGTGACGATCTCGATGATGATGTATATGGAAATGCTTCATGGTCCCAGCTACACGTGCAGAATATGTTTCCAATTCCCGCCGCCCATGCGATTACCACGGATGCTGGCCACGAGGGTCTTGATGTGAGGACCTCGTCCATGTCTCTGACCACCCTGTCCTCAGATTTGGAAGGAGTTCCAGAAGAAGAGGAAGGTGATGATGAAGCAGTTGCGAGCTTGAAGCATATGGTCGAGCCTGAATTTCCCATTGCCGAGAATTCCTCTCAGGCAACCACGGGGCTCAGCTCGCTCCCATTGGCCGAGTTCCAATCAGCTTCCGGAATTGGTCCTGAGCTGTCTGTATACGTGACTCAGGATTTAGCAAGGAAATTGTCTGAGGCACTTGGCTCTCCTACCCTCCCCCAAACCCGACCCACTACAGAAGCACCAGTGACTGAACGGACAAATTCGGAAGTTGCCCGGAGACGGTCCTCGGTCGCCACGCGAACTGTTCCTGAGAACATCTATGACTCGTGGGATGCTGATATCGACTATTGCTATGAGCATGCAGCCGAATCGAATTCGAACTTCGACTGGACTCGCAATTCCGTCGATGAGCCACGAGCGGATATGACGGTTGAGGCCGACACTACGGCAGATGGAGACAAAACCACGGTTTCATTCAATCGTCCGAGCGCCATCGCCGTATCCGCTATGGACCGGGACTTCATTCCCTCATTCTCGGAAGTCAGCTCCCACGTGGCTGTTGCTCCTTCCACTGCTGAGTATGACGCCGGGATGTCTGTTTCCCAGAGAGACAGTGATTACTTCCGTCCTGTCAGGTTCGGGCCTGCCTTGAGCAAGTCAACGAACCCAGAGTCCTTGTATGAGGACTACTTGACAGCAGATGCGGAGTCGGATCGTCACTTTTCGTTCTATGCGCAGCAAGGTGTAATTCAGCCTATCGAACATTCCATCTCCCCTCGCAGCAGCTTCTCCCCAATCAGCAAGTGCAATTCCCAGGAGAGTTTGATCTTATCCCGCGCGGCATCGATTGTGCGCAAGCATCGATCGTCCGTCTCGACCGCTAGCGTCCCGGACCTAGTGCACAGTCTGGCAAACAGCCGCGAGCTGATTCCAACTGAAGAAATCCCTTCGGGCGAATATACTGCGAATGGGAGACCAGACTCCTCTCACCATAGACAAACCAAGAGCCTTGCACGGGAACTTGAAGCACAGATGCTGTACCGTGCGGAACCGGAGGCAAGCTTCGAGCCTATGGGACCGGGTTCTGCCATCATTCCTTCCATCCACGACCGAGCCAAATCTACGAGCGAGGCCGAGGCGGTACCCTTAGCTGTCGCGGCTGCTTCTAGAGTCGCGCCTCGTCGTAAAGGGAGAGCGTCTTATTCCCTCTTTCCTGCAGCTGCGAACTGAGATATTGTTCGGTCAACACTCTGACAAAGCGACACATCTAATCCCCAGCTTCCCGGCCTTTCCAATTTGAAAGATTGTATGTGTGTTGAGTGTCTTCTCAATTTGTTCTGCCATAGAACGTCTTCCACGAATTTATGATTTCAACCCCTGTTTTAGCGGAGACTTGATTTCAGTTCTTTTACTCTCCCGGCTTCTGCGACGACAATCTGTCTTGTACATTTGCATACCAACACTGCACGCTATGCTCTTTGTTTTCATTGTCCATCTGCGCTTCTCTTGCATTTCTCAGCGATTGGTTCTGTCGTAAAGAAAAAGAAATCGGGTGTTTGCCACTTTTATTGGGTATAGGGATCTGGATTTCGTTATGAGTGGTGTTCAATTCGACAACACCCGGCATTTCAATCTAAAAATGTTTCTTCGGGTCCATGGCCGTGACTCGATCAGCTTGCATGTATGCTCAACTTTACTTTTGCTTGTGTTCTCTCCAACATCGATGGTTGATCGGGTTCTAGTTGCATTTCATCGAGAAGAGAAGGAGATCGGGGTTCGTTTCCGAAAGGAATATTGATAATCATGGGCGATAGGCCCAGAAAAACAAATGAGTTAGTGTGATTCTGGACTCAAGTATTAGCAAAACTGATTTTGGGTACTGTAAGGGATATATGTAGTCTATCTACCGAGATGCAAGCTGGATTGGAGATGCCATGACGATGATCCTCACCGCTTTCCGGCGGTATAGCATTCTGCCTGGTTTTTTCTAAGCATTGCCTTCGCCCACTCGCTCTCCTTTCCGTGCCTCTTTTCTATACATTCACTCACTTCTTGTCTTTCGTGTCAGCATGCATCTCATATCCATCTCTCGCACTCCGCAATTTCCCCATAGATAAGAATACCTGCATACTTATCAGATTCAAATCATGTCCGAGTCCTCGCAAACCCTAGTCAAGCGTCAAAGCAACAGCAGCTTGATGCCTCCTCCGCCTCCACCGAAGCGCATCAAACGACCGGCCACCGTGCTTGATGAAGATGTTTACACCGACGCTCTCTCCGAAATCATCGCACGCGATTACTTTCCTGGTCTACTGGAGGCTCAGGTGAAGCAGGATTATTTAAATGCATTAGACTCGCAGGATCAAGAGTGGATTGCAAGTTCAAAGAAGAAACTATCTGATTTGGTGCAAACTCCTGGAAGAGTCCGAACTCGCCCTGGCTCTGCCATGACACCACAGTTCATTGGAATTGGAAAGTCAGGGGATACTCCGATGACCTGGGGCGGTGATACGCCTTCGTCGATGACGTCTGCTTTCTCATCAGGAAACCATATACCAGTTTTCGAAACACAGCGCCAAGCCCTAGATGTGAGTCGGCTGGGGTTGCTGGAGTTTCAAGCCAAGTACACTAGCGAGGACAATGAATCCTTCAACAGGTTATTGGACAAGCGAAATTCCAAGCATCGGGAGAAATATGCCTGGCTATGGAACGGGAACAAGATTCCGACCGCGCGACAGATCGCCCATCATCGACAGGAGGCCAAGCGGATTGCGGCCCAGAGAGGTAACCCAGATCAGAACAAACAGGCATTGATCAAGACCGACCTGAACGCTCGACCTGCTCAGCCCGACACATGGAAGATGCGTCCGGAGAATTCACTCATGTTTGCGCCTTCATCCGTCGAAGACATTCATGAGACGGCTCAGCAGAAAGCGGAAGCTGCATCTCGAGCAGCGCCTAAATGTGTGGTATACCAGAACACTCGTCTTCCGAATGAGGCTCTCCATCCAACTTCCGGGACTGTGCCTCCACCTTCGCCATCGATATCGGCTATCAAGGATGCTATCGCCGGACGTCCTCGCCCGACTGATTCAGAGCCAGGGTACAATGGCGGGGAAACACCCCGAGTGAATGGATATGCGTTTGTGGATGAAGATGAGCCCGAGTATGACCGTCCCTCACCCAGGGGCGATGGCTCCATAACGGACGATTTCTACTTGCTCGGAAGCGGTGATGCAGTTTCGAATCCGTTCCAGCTAACAGAAAATCGCAGACGGGAAGATCTTCACCATCGTATGGTTGATCGGGTGGCACGGACGAGACGTGCGGAAAAAGTCACCCGCGAGACTAAAACTCCTGTGGCAATGACCCCCAAATTCGCCAGCAGTCCGCAACTCGACTTTGGGCAGCGGGCACTAGGTGCAGCTACTCCTGGGACAAGAGCAGGCAAGATGCTGACACCTGCAGGGCAAAAGCTGCTCAATCAAGTAGGGAGTACTCCCCGCCCAGGTGGTTCGTTTACTGGTTCGTCGTCTAATATGAGGAATATGTGGACACCAACTCCTAGGAGATTCAAATGATGGTGCTCTTCTTATCTTGCCGTTTCTATTTTCTTATCATTTCTCGTGTCGTCCAATTCCTTTGTTATGAGCGTTTCTCTCTCACTTGACTAGATACCATCACACAAAGAACGGCGTTTTGCATCGAGGTTTGTCAGTTGCCATTATGATCAATGGTAGGATATATTACTGGCCTTGAGTGCCAGCTTCTCGACTTGGTTTTTTTTTTCTCGGCAACATAGGGATGCAGGCAACTAGTGCTTGTACGCGTCTTTCTATGCATTCATTCGGCAAAAGCTCTTGATCGCCACCAACTAGCGTATTTGAGGTTGCATTGGCGACTAGGAACCTGTCCCCATCGCTTGAATCAAATTTGAGATGCCTGAAGTCGAAGGGAACGCAGAAGTTATCTTGAATGAACCAAGCGTCCTAGCCCAAGGATACTCGTATAACGCAAGAAGTAAATGGTTTCCAGGTAATTCACGCACTTAAGTCAGCATCAATGATACACATTCAGCAACATCACATGTCAATCCAAGAAGGGTATCTATGTTCACATATATCCAAGAACACAAGATCTCTCACGATGTCGGGGTCAACGAGTCCCAAAGCCTGATTCACGCATATACTTTCAAGCCCCCCAAAAGAAGAAAGGGAAAAGTAGAGCGAACCGGTCAGCGTGGGACAGCACCGGTGTCTGGAGTCTATTCAATTGCCCACAGCGCGGTCCATAGTGCGGTCAGGGCAAAAAAAGCGTTCCATACATCGTGACGGAGACCCGCCGCCATACTCATATAGTACGCAGCTCCCAAGTAGCTGCAGGTGATATCGCCATTTGAGTCCCGGACCCCATAGGAAGAATTTAACCACTGCCCCACGGGACAACTGAAGCCTAAAGCGGACGGGCAGTTTCGGACGAGACTGTGGCAGACGTCCTGGCAGGGGAGGATCTCTTTATAGGGACCCGGCTGGATGTCAGTGTCGATCAACGGATTCCGTGATCGATTTGTGGCAGGATTAGTCAATAAACTACTGTTGGTGATGGAGGTGCCGTTTAAAAATGCCTGGCCCGCATTGCGGACTTGAAGAAAGGAGTCGGTGCTCGAAAAGTCTTGGCACCGGGGGATTGTTACAGCGCAAACCCACTGTTTGTAGGCCTCGGCGCAGCTGTCGCAGGAGACAGCGAGGGAAAACACAGTTTCGCTGGAAGCATTGCACTGAACCTGTTGGAGGGAGTAATTGAAATTTTGGTAGAGAGATGCGGCATTGTCGTCATAGAATGTGCGTAAAATCGGGGTTTGAGCGGACGAGTTCGATGGCACGGCATAGGCGACTTCTGAACAGAATGAAAGGTCGTACACCAGCGCGCAATTGTCCTCTGTCCTTCTATCAGCAAAGACTGTGCATAGGAGGCAACAGAGTCCGACTGTAGAGCTCACCTGTCTTCGTAGAAAAATTCATCGGCTTCCAAACCTTCCCACCGCCACCTATTATCCCATTACCTGCACTGGTAGAATTGCCGTATCGGGCGAGGATCCCTAAATAGGTAGAGCTTTTATTCAGGCCAGTGGCATAGAGTTGCTCCTTGGGCCGGAACTTGTCACCACGTGTAGTCATACTGGGCTCCACGTTCTTCATACCGATCTGCGCAAGCCGATCGAGGGCACAAAAGGATCGCTCCAGACCCGATACTGCAGTGCTGTTCAAGTTGTTGGCAAACATTGTGTACGGGGGTGTCTTGTTCATCCATATGCTGATGTCCTGGGCGTCAATATCTGTGTCTGTGAGGTTTTTCGTTGTGAAGAGTGCGGCTTTTGTATCCGAGTCCACCAGGTATAGAAGCTGATCCTCGGTATTTACATCGTGAAAAAAGGCATCGGTGGATACTGCGATTTGGTACGTGTACGACCCCGAATACTGCGTGTTATTGGGAGCGGTGACTCCGATATACACATTCCCGTCCGCTGCCAGAGTCGTGCCCATATAGCCCTCCTCCGCGACAAACACCTGTTGTTCTGCACTGTCTTTGTCGGGGCCGGGCTTCTCAAGTGATTCGGACAGCGAGACGAAGACCTGCAGTTGTGGCACAGTGGACGAGGAACCGGTCGCATCTTCCGATTTGTTGAGACTCGGTTTCGAGCAGGCTGTCAGGGACAGATATATGGTCGTCGATCGTTTTGCGATATCTTCGCTCCGTTTCGAAGTAGTTTCGTTGGTGCTGCTGCTATCGCCAGCGGTCGAATCTGTAGGGTAATACCAATGCTGAGTCTCACCCAATCTCAGCGTGCCTTCCTGGTACTGGTTGTTTCCTAGGGATGACACCCCCGTTGGGGCTCGACGGATCAAGTCTAATTCTCGTCCCCGAGTTTCTTCAAACTCCAGCCCATTATATGATTCCAGTGGGAACCCAAACCGTGTGTCGACATCGCCGAGGTATATGGTCCCGTGGCTGGTGACGGCCAGCTGCGCCGAGAATTCTTCTTCAGCATCGTCAGCAGAGACGGGACCAGCGCAAAGAGCCATAGCGAAAGCGATCAGGAAAATAACCGCATCGGCAATCGCAAACCTGTGCGACAAAGCCATTATGGATAGATGTGGTCACGTCCTTCCTGGGCACAATTGACGTAATCATTGGTTATCCAAGAGGGAAAGAAAACCAAAAACGAAAGAGATGTGCTGCCTCTCACGGCTGAGGCCAGCCGAGTCGTGAGAGAGTTACCGAGTAGTAGATGGAACAAGAGGTTCAATCTACGGAGTACTCTGTCGAGGAATGAAGAAAGCGTTCCGATGGGGTGTACATTACAAGTCCAGTATATTACAGTACAGTACGCCTCTGTCTGGAGCAAAAAAAGTTCATGTGAACTGTGTTTACCTGGAGCATTCAATGCCAGATATCAACGTGCCTTTGTCATACGTGTCCTTCCCTCTTGAATGCTTCTAGATTTTATATGAGCTTATCTTAGATAAAAGAGTTTATGGAGATGCATTTAGGACCACATAAGATACACATATATCCCTCTATAGTATATATACACTATCTAAAGCCCCCCTCCCAGCTTCTCCAATAAACTTTTTTGGAATTCAACAGACAACTGCACAAATAGCACAGAACACAAAGGGATCGGGGCCAAGCCATGATATGCAAAAGTTTCATGTCAAACAAGCATGATTCCAAAATCAAGACAATCGATGACCAGGTAATGGAAATCGAGTATACCTGCCTTACACAAGCTTGTAGCGACGTGCGGCCACTCCACTAATGATGATAATAGCACCAATGACGCCGATGATCCCAAAGAACCACGCAAGGCTCTCGGTGTGTTGTCCAGGGACCTCCACATTCATACCAAAGAGACCGCAGATGAGGTTCATGGGCACAAGCATGGTGGCAATGAGTGTCACCTTGCTGAGGACTTTGTTGACATGATTACCCAGCATGAGGTTGGTCACATTCAGCTGCGCAAGATAGTTGGTGTGCGACCGGCTAAGCATTTTTTCAAAATGTGCCAGATTAGACATCATGGTTACGACGTGATCCTGGATGTCGCCTAAATATAGGCCAATGTCACCGCGAGGCGTCACTGAGTACTGTTCATTGCAGCGTTTCGAAAAGCCCCGAATAACATCGGCCTTGCCACCCAGTAGCCGCATTAAACTCATGACCTTTTTGCGAAGGCCACCAATGCGTGGTAAAAAGGACTCAAAATCATCCATACGGGCAATGAAAACAAGGTCCTCGATAGCTTCCGACTCGACCTCTATTTCACGGATCACGGGACCAAAGCTATCCACAATATCGTCGCTAGTCCATCACGCGTCAGTTCACAAGAGCATAATAGCCCACGAATTTGATTCCAACTTACATCATGGCATAACAGATCCAGTCGCTGCTGAGTGAGACATAATCGCGAAGCTTTCCGATTCGCTTCCGAACATTAGCTGCATGTGGATTCTCAGTAAATGAGAACGAAAGCACTCCATCGCGAAAGACTACCATATAGAAATTCACGGGCTCCATGAATTGCTCGCTGGTTTTGTCCATCTGGTAAAATGTCCTGAAGCAGACAAAATAATACTGCTTGAAAAGTTCGACCTTTTCACGAGCTTCCTGGGTTAGGATGTCCTCCGTTGTCAAAGGGTGGATGGAGAAAGCTCTGGACAAAGCACCCACTTCGTCTTCTGTAGGGTTCAACACGTCAAGCCACCAGACGCCACCTTCCGGGCCAAGCTGGAAGAGATCACGAAAAGTATCCCCAGGCAAGACCAGGTCACCCAACTCTGCAGCATGCACAGTACTTTGAGATTCGGAAGAGAAAAAGCCAAACCGGGTGGGCTCATTCTCATTTTTCATGTTCTCAAGTAACTCCTTCTCATTCGAAACTTCCGCGAATAGCTTCTCATTCTTCGCGGAAATTGAATCCAGTATATCATCAGATGAATTCTCTGTGCTTGAAGATCGTTTCGTGCCATCACTGTCGGAGTTATGAACGCCCGCACGAAGGTCGTAGAAAATGCGCGGCTTCTTGCTCTGTGAGCTCAGACTATGCTTACGTCTGCTTGTTGTGGGCTTCACTTGCTGGCTGAGTGCAACAAATTCTTCCAGCTCTTCGTAATCAATGACTGGGATTCTGCCAGGCTGCTCGAACGTTGGCACGCAGCCATCATCGGTGGGCTCCAGTTGTGTATCCCCAGCCTGCGGACGTATCACACTGGCATTGCTGAACGTTGGACGGCGATGGTGCGTACCGCCAGAAACAGTACGTTGAAGAATGGCCTCAATATCAGGAGCTCCGTGGCTCTCCAAGGTATTCGCCCGTTCCCGGCGACGTGGATCTGCGAACGCCTCGACCGAGTTAGGCGGGGAGGTTGATCTAGCTGATACGGATGATTCGCGCGACAAGTTGGCATAATCCTGATGTGTGCGGCTGTAAGTGCGACCATGTCGGACATTGCCGTTGGGATCAACAGAGAAATGACGTCCCAGTGCCGTGAGATCTTGAATCGATCGATCGTCGTCGACGATTGCTTGCTCAAAGTCGCGCCGAAAGGACCCGGCCTCTCGCAGGGCGTCCTGTATAATGAGCAGGTCTGGGCGTTGGGGAGTCTCTGGGTGCAAACACTGCGGCGCGGTATTTTGCCGGCTAAGCGGCACATCGGGTGCGGCGTCCATTCGAGGCGGATCCAGTTGAAATCTGTGGTCATCGAGTTCGGGGACAGGTGTGCTGTATCTAGTGAGAAACATGTATTTCTCGGACTTCGGTGACTCAGACATTGTGCCGGAATCGATTTCCGTGTAGTCGCTATGTTTCGGAACTAGTCGATCGGTTTTCTTTTTATTGGATGCGCGTTGCAAGTGACTGATATTGAACGCCCTGGCTACTTGTTTCTCGACGTGTTCCGCTGGGCTCAAGAATGCGATATTGCACACAGGATGATGGGTGAATTCCCAGGAGTAATTGCTCCTCCATCCATTAGCCAGACCCGCCGGTAGGGCCTGGCATTACCGATGCGCGTCCGTGTGCCAGCTTCAGGATTGCTGGAAAATCGTATTAGGGGGGTCTGGTGTCGCCCCCGCAGAAGACCCTGAACTTAGGGCCCAGAAGAGGGTGAGGGAGGGAGGACTGGTTGTAGCGAAGGCCCGCCAACTTGACTGGATCAGGTGAATAGGAGCGTTGTCGCTTCAGGGGGTTGCAGAAGGAGTGGTTGGACAAAAGAAAGTCCTTTGACCAGGGTCTTCGAAGCTCGCCTCAAGATTCGAGCAATGACGTTAGATGTCCGACTTGACACTAGAAGAACACGAGTGCGTGTCAGAAATCCAGATTGATGATCGATACTGGAAAGGGGTGATCCTAGATTCGGCACCAACACTAGGAAGGGGTGAATGTGTTATTAGAAATTGGGGTTGTAGGAAAGTCGGTTAGAATGACTTGTGTGAGGCCGCAAAGCCAGACTTTTCTCAAGAATTAGGTTGGACACAGTGCACTCGGCAAGAGAACTTCACGCAGAAAGTTAGTCACCACTAATCAAAGTCCTTTCGGAACACATTACAGACCTTCTGTGGGATCAACGAAAACGGGGGTGAGTTGTGGTAATCCTGAACTCTCCACCTTGAGAAGGTGATTCCGTCTTAAGCCCAGAGACGAGGAGGGGAAGGGAAGGAGAGGGGGGAGAGGGAGGGATGAGGGAGGCAGAAAACCGGAGTTGGTCAAGATTTATTTTACAAGGGCTCAAAGAACAGTGGACTGAAATTACTTACGATGGAGGCGGGCAGAGATTTCCGCTCGAGGGCCACAATAACACTGAGGTGGGACTGCCCGGGTGTAATCGCATGACCATAGCTTGTATAACTCCCTCCTTTTTTGTTTCTCCCTTTTTGTTTTGGGTCAGCGTGAAATGGGGAGGTGGATGATTCCACTCTTTGCTTCCTTAGCTTCAACTCATACAATTTTAACTTGATAGTTAACCTCACCAGTGTATGTACATATATATCTTACAGACAAGACAATACCCCCCACAAAGATCGGTACAGAGCGAGAGAGTCAGTGTGGTTACTGTATTGTACTTATAGTACTCAACAACTTCACTTATCACTCTCCATTGTCCAGGCACCAACTGCCACTTCAAACTACCATAGCTTTTACCGACATAGGATCTACATAAGTAAGGCATGCTATCAAGAGACACTACGTAGGTATCTCGCACCATGAGGTGGTTTCGAATGTTTCATACGGAGTACAGTACAGCACAGTACAATACAGTATAGTACTACATAATGGTATGACTGGTCCTGGTACTACTAAGTGAGTTTATATTACCTAATATCATGTCAGTAAAGTACTGTACTTTGTCCTGAGCAGATAGACCCAGTGGAGGTTTCAATAGATGCCCTCGACCTCCAGATGTGTTGTAAGTTATGTCTTTGCTCCCGAGTCCCACCTCCTGTTCAAAGATTCTCATTCTCGAGGGCATCAGGCACCAGTTTCATATTTAGCTCCAGCATGTCTTCCGTCCCGAGCACGGAAGCCCACGTTCTAGCCGGTAGATTAGTTGATTCGTCGCATGTGATGTCCCGGCCGTAAATCATAATGAGTACTAGTAATCATGGAATCTCCCTCCACAGATTTTATTACCGCTCATTGCTCCGTGAGGCAAAGAAATTAGGGGTTTCCCAGTCTGATCCCTCGTGGTCACAGGGATGGTTTTGGTCCGTTTGCTGGGGGTGAGAGACCCGGTTCATGTTACATGGTTGTTGAAGTAGCCAATACATTAAATAATTGTGGTCGTAAGAGAAAGAGTAAGGTAGTAGAGTAGTAGAGCATCAGAGCGTAGGCTGACTGACTCGATACTGTAGGTTGTAGGAATAGTCAATTCAACTCTGCATGGTTTAGCTTCTCTGGATCCGACCTCGGCCGATCATCGGTCCCCTTCCTTCCCAGAAGTTGAATTTTCGGCCGGGCGCGCCAAGACATGAAGAGTCACCGAGACGAGCAACTTGGAATCGAGTCAACTTCTATCAAAAGTACTTTGGATCCCATTATCATTCTTCCGGGCCATCCTTTCGACCTCTACCAATTTCCGAAGTTTGTTCTCTTGCTCAAGGCTTTTGGTCTTGCCTAACTTTTTGAACACAATGGCTTCTCCCACCTCGTTTTCGTTAAAGATTCCCTGCTCCTCCGCCAATATCGGACCTGGTTTTGATGTGATCGGCCTGGCATTGTCCCTTCATCTCGAACTTCAAGTCACCATTGATACCTCTAAGGGCTCTTCTCCACAACCACTCAATTGTGTGATCACTTACGAGGACCGGAGCAACAGCGTCGAGAAGATCGACCTGGACCCGGAAGTGAATCTGATCACCCGTGTAGCTCTATACGTACTTAGATGCCATGACCAGAGGGCATTCCCCGCTGAGACCCATGTGCACATTGTAAACCCAATTCCACTGGGCCGAGGTCTCGGCTCATCAGGCACTGCAGTCGTGGCCGGTGTAATGCTGGGAAATGAAGTAGGCCGCCTGGGCCTGAGCAAGGAGCGGATGCTAGATTATTGCTTAATGATAGGTGAGTTATCCCAGATGTGAGGTGCAGAGAGGTGGCCAGAACTCTACCGGGGCAGCGGGATTGTGCTGACTATGTCTACAGAGCGACACCCTGACAACGTTGCTGCCTCGCTCTTCGGAGGTTTCGTCGGAACCTACCTCAACGAACTCAAGCCTGAGGACGTAGCGCGCAAGGAAATACCTCTTAGTGAAGTCCTTCCCGCCCCCGCCGGTGGCGTTGATACCGGGAAGAGGCCCCCCGAGCCTCCTATTGGAATCGGTCACTATAGGAAGTTTCAGTGGGCCAAGGAAATCAAGGCTATCGCTATCATTCCCGACTTTGTGGTGCCAACCGCCAACGCAAGAAGCGTCTTGCCGACTTCCTACTCACGAGCGGATGTGGTAAGTTTTTCTGGGCCCTCATTTCGCACCTGGCGTACGGGGTTTATCAAAGAGATGTATCACGGCACTAATTGGCCACGTCAATCAGGTTTACAACCTCCAACGCACTGCTTTGCTCCCTGCCGCCCTGGGCAGTTCCCCCCCGGACCCGGATATGATCTATCTGGCTATGCAAGACAAGGTTCACCAGCCTTATCGCCAGACTCTTATTCCGGGTCTGACGGAGATTCTTCAGTCAATGAATCCACGTACCCAACCTGGTCTCTTGGGAATATGCCTTTCAGGCGCGGGTCCAACTATTTTGGCTCTAGCAACCGACAATTTCGAGGAGATCGCAGATCGTATCATTTCTCGCTTTGCTTCCAATAACATCACTTGTCAGTGGAAGCTGCTCGAGCCTGCCCAGGCCGGTGCCACTATCCAGTACTAAAGAACGTGCCAATATGCCACAATTGCATGCCGCTTTCCTCAAGAATTCACATAAGCATACAGATCTGAAGCAAGATTCTATGGTCTTATAGCGTGCCAATCTGCGAGTAAATAGATATCTACCGGGGCAAAGCATGCACACAAGAAATGGTTCCAGGGATCATAAAGTGGACTTGCTACTTAATGACCTGTATAATGGTTAAAAGCCCGTTATCTGAGGGGCCTCCAGAATCACTTGCACGATCCTCGGCTTAGGCCCTATAGAGTCGACTATGTAGCTATTCAACCAACAAACACCGGTGGTGTTGATTGTATTTTTGTTTGTTTAGCTGGTGAACAATAGAAGTCGCCGCACATGGTGGCTTATCTGTATCGGAGCCTCGATAAGTCAAAGGCGGTGGAGATAATGCCACGACTTCAACTCCTGCTGCCGTCACTACATGGAAGGGGCTGTGTCTGACCACGAAGAGTCAAAGCCGACCGTGAGCGTTGATTATCCTCATTTAAGTGCACGCCCACAGACTTTGCCATGGACAATCTGCTAGCTCCTATCCAAGATGCTCTGGAAGGCCAAATAGTAAGTAGACTCCTGCTCGTTAGTCAAACATAACAGAGCATTAACCCAGTCCTTTCTACCTTGACAGGACTACCAAGGCCAGCACATGGCAGAACTTCTTTCTACGGTCCTTCTCATCATGTCAGGTGTGAGTACAAGCATGCTGGATTCACCAATGTCGCTGTGTCTGTCCCATGGGCCGCTTACGAGTATTCTTGAAAGGCTATTGCTTTCCTTGTGGGATACATTCAGCAAGACATTCATCTAACCCTCTGGGTTGGACTCGCGGGTACAGTAGCAACTGGCTTGATGGTGATCCCGCCTTGGCCTATGTACAACAAGAGGCCTGAAAAATGGCTGGCACCGACGTCGGCAGATATGGGAGTTGCAGGGGTCATGGTAGATGGTGTAAAGTTGCATGAGATTTAGCTGTGGACTTTACAATTCATTCTGAGCCTGATTCGATCACGGTTGTCCGCGTCCCTCACAAACAGCCTAGATCTGTATGAATAATTTGAAAGTCACTGCTCGGAATGCAAAAGAAACCGCTCAACGCCACCCAATCCCTCCCAGTCCGATCATACTCAGTTAGAGAATGTACGAGTGAAGCCATGGCCAGCCTGCTGTCTAGACCCAATCGCAGCAGATACGAGTCTACCGACCATACTTTTGAAACTCCCAGTCTCTGTTGTCTAAGGGACAGACTTGGCGAGTTTTCAGCCATCGTGAGATACAGTGGAAGTGGAAGGCGTGCTTGGCAGGAGTAATTCCGTATCAGTGCTCTGTACACAAAAAACGGGGAGAGGATAAGCTCACATTACAGATGCCCCAGGCTACTGTACACTCTTCCGTCGTAGATGAACCTTGATTTGCCTGGCATTCGATGCCTGCAAATATAACACGTCAGACACGTCAGGCATCAGGTTTAAAGGAGAATGACAGCCGTACATAAATCCATGATATGGTTGCGGCAAATCGCACAGTTGTCGACAACAATGTCCCAAGCCCACAGAGCCACAGCGTTCCACTAGAGCAATACTTGTGTTATTTCCGATGTGCAGATAGGAGAACGGCTTCAAGTGGCTATACCTTCTTGACCTCGAACTTTTTCTTGCCATCACTGGAGGCATCTGTGGCATTGGACATCTCCTTCGCCTTAGAGGCGCCAGAAGTGGTCGCCTCTTTCATTTCCACGTCCGCCATTTTCACTTGTGTTGGGGTCGTTCCTTATATGTTCAGTGAGCGCGGGGTTGTAGGCGAAGGCCAGATGATGCCTTCTCTAGTTGCGGAGGCTCGGAAGAGGGGCGCGCAGCTTGGAGGATTACGTAGGTTTCGGTTGATAGAGCAGGCGGTACCTTGATTAGTTAGACTAGGTCCTGTCAGTTTAACTGATAACTTGTTGCGGTGTACGTACGGTACAGTGTAGGCAGGGCAATTAGCGCGAGACACCTTGATTACTAGGACGTACGCAAGTAAACACACTTCTCACACTTCTGCGAGAACCGTCAAATCTTCTTATAGTTCGTGATTACCAAGTTGTGGACTCGAAGGGGAGAGGAAAGGTATCAACCGCACTGTAACTGACTGAAAACAACTGCTTGCTACCTGATCCTCGACCGACTTTACTGTACGCAGTGAGCCAAGGTGGGCGGCGGATGCTGAGTCATCACTGTTCACCCCCGCTCCTCCCACCCCCAGCCTTTCTTCTTCCCGCCCTTCCCATGGTCCAACAACCACTTCGAACCCAACCCAGCTTCAACGACTTCCTACAATGTTTCCCAGCCTGCTTTCTTTACTCTGTCTTTCATCGCTCGTGTAAATGTGAGCATGTCTAGGATCCCTGGCTTACTTCCTCTTTTACCATCCTCTTACTCATTCCACACTTGATCTTGTACACAGAAGCTTGCATATATTCCCCGTGCACACCCTCCGATCCAAGGCCAACTGGTTGGGCTACACCTCACCATCGCACTGCGCAATTGTCACTTCGTCGTCTCTTGAGATTGTAGTGTCGGGTTCTCCAGCACAGGCTGCTGGGCACACTGCGTAATACAGCGAATTTCTCGCCTAATTATTCTGACTTGGCTCTCGCGCTTGTTTTCTCATATCCGCTTCCGAAGCTGTGTCTATCTTCGAAGGCCTTTCACAATGTCAACCCAATCACCTACTCCTCCAACGCCAAAGGGTCCTCGAAACAACCGTCGGAATTCGAAAAGAAATACCACCCCGCTGTCTCAGAAGGTCACCTTACTGGCAACCCCGCCCTCGTCGCCACCGCGGAATCAGAGTCCTGGCGGAACTGCCACGGACTCTTCTTTCAACTATAACCCTAGTGCGTCTAAGAAGAAGCCTGCGCGGACCAACAGAAAACCTCGCGATGCATCAAGGGCCTCTCCTGTTTCTAGCAACGAGCATCGGCATACCTCATCGCACTCACACAATCTTTCCACCCCACAAGCAAAGGACAGCTCGCATTATGCAGGTCCTACTTTTCATGCATCGCCAGCGCCGTCCGCTCTTCCAATACCAAGCTTTTTTTCCAAGTCGTTGCCTGAGTCGGACATTTCTTCGGGACTAGAAGCCGACAACGACAATCTCGATACCAGTCCAGAATCAGAAAGTACGCCCTCCAAATCTAGAGTGCGTCCGGTCTATGAGGACGAAGGACGCAAACCCACACCACTCGATTTTCTCTTCAAAGCTGCAGTTGAAGCTCGAAATACTCAGCAGCCGCATAGCCCGGAGTCGATCATGAGAATATCATCCCCACAAACCGATTTAAAAGCTCTTTGCAACCGCAGTACCATCGGCGCTGGCGCTAGCGATGGACTCTTCACGGCCGATGTGGATGGTCCCGAAAGCAGTCAATCGCTCATCGGGACCTCATTCGCTGCATCCTACAAGGATCGCATGAATGCTCTGCGGTCAGCCAGTTCACCCTCTCCGTCAACAGACCACCTGGACGAAAATGAACGACAGGTTAAGACAGAGGCTTTGAAGAGCCTGCTGCTCAACCCTCGCCCTCAGAGACCGTCCTCAGCCTCGGTTACGGCCCAGAAACAACATGGAAGCTTCAGTGGGCATTCCTCTGCCAACCATAGTGTGCCTCACTTTGCGACTCCCCTAAGAGCAACTTCTGGGCCACCTGCTTCTTACTCGCATTCTATGTCTACCGAGCACCAACAACCCGTTTCTGGCATCGGTTCGTATTCGCCAATACCATACACGCAACACCACGCTTTTCACCAAGCCCAGCCCCCATACTCGCCTCTTCGAAAGGAGGTTCTCTCGACAAAAGTTGGGAATAGACCGACTGTTCCTGGAGAAGCGCATACCTACGGGCAGCCAAGGTCTCCGTCTAAATACGTACAATACCCAATGTACTATCCCCCACCTCAGCACTCTCCCGTGTCACGTGCCATTTCGGTTAGTCCGGCTGCGCAATCTGTCGATACTAAGAAGATGGAGGATGATTTGCGACGTATATTGAAACTCGATGCGCCCTCCGGTGTTTCAGCTGGTGGCATTCAAAGCTCATTCGCCTGACTGCATCTACATGTCACAGAATGCTAGCCTTTACTCTTGTGCTGATATTTGTTCCCGATCAATTCTTATTTTGATGCTTCGGATCTTAAGTACCATCTGTTCAATGATTGATTTGAGCTCAACTCCAGCTTCTGAGCGCATCCAGGCCGATACTAATAGCCGTGTTCGCATCATTGCATGTCTTTCATTCGGACTTGATTGACATGTCTTCAACCTTCCCGGTTTTCTATCTGGCTCAGTAGCTATTCTTCCCTGCTTGTCTTGTTTCTCGTTCCTTAAGGGTTTTCGTTTTGGCTTTATCCCCACCAGTCCGCCCTTCCTTGTTGATATTCACCGCAGCTCATGTTGGTAACTTTATGTTGTGGATGGCTGGGATTATGACTCTCGCTGGGATCAGTTATACCCCATTTGCATCAAACCTGGAGTCTGGTTGCCTTTCGAGTATTTTTCTCTGGGTGTCGAACCGGCAAGGCTTGATGACCGCGTGGTATACTTCATTGTTGTTATTATAGTACTTCCACTGGGTCATGTTTCTTTTGCTCACATCTTGTCGTGGGGGCCATCTTTCAATTCATGTGTTGCCCTGATGGTCGCATTCTCTGGCCACCCTATATCATGTCGGGATTGTGTGGCACAATGCTTTCTGGCTAGATTACTCGTCATGAAGCTGAGGCAATCTTCATTAAGGGCAGTTTTGGAGCAGTTGTTGCTGGTACACACGACCCCGCATAACCTTCAGAATCTCTATCATTCCTATGCTTCTATATTTCTCGACACACACTAATCTGTATTTACGTTCATCACCGTCCATGCCTCCCGTTATCTGATGTGGCTCTCTCTGCACACGATCATGTGCCGGCTGTTTATCATGGGATTTTCAAACACTCTCCGTGTCGTGATACATGAGTGATGACACATATAAGTGATGTTGCTATGGGTCATGGCTGAGGGGGGAGCCACCCCCCACCCCTTGCTGCTTGTTGCATAGGCATCAGGCGAGCTTACCAAGAAGACTCAGAACAGATGACAGTATTCATGGACACTGGCTGCTTAGCGAGGCAGATAACTCAGAAAGGAATTTGGAAGGAAACGTGGACATGTTCTATTTTATATATATATATATATATATATATTTACATATGAATATATGTGAGTATGTATATATGTGAGTATGTATAAACTCTAACCCTGCCCGGCGGAGAATGTGAAAGGACAAGGTCAAGGAGTAGCGATAGACTAAAGATAGCTACCTAGTAGGTATTAGAGAGTCCGTACCTGCGTAATTACACCCAATGACCTCAAGGTTGTCATCCACTGCATCTAATTAGTTAACCTGACTGGAGGAGAGTCCAGAACGCGGACAGAAGCCGCCACAACAACGAAGCCAAGCCTAACGGCGAAATGGTACGTACGGAGTAGTTCCCGACGACCCACTCGGCTTCTGCTCCACTTTGCACTGAAAAATTACGCGGCCAGACACAAAAAGAGTTGATGAAGATGAAGATGGAGCATGTAGGTTACTTCTCTGTATCAGTACTATTTTGGGGAGGACATAAGAATAATAATAATGAGTCAGCCGGGACTGTTTGTACTCATTTGTATAGGTGCTGTATCGTATTATACCTTTATGGTATGTAGGGACTTGAGTTCGATTACCGCTTTAGGGGAAATTGATATTGACACCTGTTGTATTTCTAATGCAACCAGTGTTGGACCCTATGAAGTAAGCGGTAGAGCTTTCTCAGCTCCTTCTCCTTTATGTTAGTGTATATATAGAATCCATGATGTGGTTATTCTAAATGAGATTGATATGAATATAGACCCCTTAACCATAATAAAGGGAATAGAAAAAGATTCCCTAGTCAATATAATCAGCCCTGAAGAATCCCAGTAGCTCCTAACATAGGAAAAATTCTACCAAAAACATAAATATCTCTAATACCATTACCGGTTGTACGGGAAAGACTGCTGGTGTCAGTATCAATTATTTGCATTAAAGGGGTTTGATGATATAACTAACTACTAGGTACTTTATGTGCTGTGTACCAGGTATGAGCACTCCGTAAGTACCAGTTAGCTGTAAGTACCGTGTCTACATAGCAAGTTCCTCATATCCGGATTCAGCTATGATACTTGTACAAGAGCGCAGGAATGCAGTGGCGCTCTTTAGAACCCGAGCTTCCCTTGCGCAGAACGTGCATTCAAGAGAATTTCTAGGCAGTTTGATGAAGAAGAGAGAGAGCTATAGCAGGTATACTGTACTGTACTGTATAGTACAATAGGATAGCCCCCCAATTTCAGATAGTAAAGGCAGGAAATCCGGCCAGCCAACTTCAGCAGTCTCCCCTTCCTTCCCTGGTTCCAGATGCCGCCGCAATTCCAGGGGCAATCTCTGCTCACTACTCCGTACAGAGTGATCATCTTAGATACATATTAAGCAAGTTAGCAGTTGACTACCTGTACTGCAGTAAGCACACAGACTATCTCACAATATCCCTGGTGAACAGGATGAATAAAATGGGTACTAATGATCAAAGTCATCACTAAGTTACGGAATACAGCAGTTATATATAAATCAGATCTCAGACGATACTAAATAAATACTCTGTACGGAGTAAGTCAGAGCTAATCGATTATCTTAGTTGCTATTTACTTTCCTCTTCTTGCCTCCTTCCCTCCCTCT